CAAAATACACCTAACGTGGCCAAGGTCACGCCAGAAGAAACACCCAAAAAATTTGACCTCAATCTGGACGAAATCTTAAGCCAAAAGTGGGAACAGGAATATGATTGGGGGGATCTCTGAGTCTCCTAAATAAAAATTTTAGTTTATTATTAAATACTTTAATTTTCCTTATAAACATCACAATTGTCAGTCATTTTTTTTCTTTTTCAGCTTAACCCACAAGTACATAATTTATAATAAAAACTGTTGCCCAGACAATGAGTCAAAACTATATACAATATTGTTTCTCTTGCCATTGACAACACAACATACTTGATCTTTTTTATTTTTTTTTATTTCTTTATGGTTCTTTATTATTATTATTGCATTATTATTATTATTATTATTATTATTATTATTATTATTATTATTATTATTATTATTATTACTATTATTATTATTATTATTATTATTATTATTATTATTATTATTATTATTTATTATTATTATTATTATTATTATTATTTTATTATTATTATTGCAGTTTTATTATTTTTATTTTTGTATATTTTATTAAAAATTGTACTTATCTGAATTATTATTATTATTATCATTATCATTACATTTTCGCCCCCCAGGCCCCGATGTGGGTCAGTGACCTGTGCCCGGGTGGGCTAACCCGTAAAATACAAACAAAACAACAACACTAGTACAGGGTGTCCCACATACCATGACACCATATAAATAGACTATATATATTGTTAGGATAGTTGAAAATGCATCAAATTGCAACAAAATGTTTATTGTTCTATGGAAATTCAAATTATTGTAGTTATTCATTGGTACTCTTAAGGTGAAGCCCTCCAGAACCCCTTCCCAGGTGTGTTGGGGTTGCTTCTGAGAACCATATAGTGTTGCCAGTATACCACATGACCTAACAGTGTTGCCAACACTCACCACAGAGTAAAACCATTTGTCATTATTTGTTATTCCCATCAACCACCACCCAAACAGTGTCACCATTGAGTTCATTAACCAAGAGCGTTCTGTACATGACAAATGGGGCCCCAAGCCCTTTTAAGCCCCAACCTAACCAACCTGAGGCACCGACTATATACAGAGATAGTGAAGAAAATAGATTAAGCGAGATAGTAGTGACTAGTAACGACGTTAGTAAGCAAATAGACAAACTAAAGCCTAATATGTCACCAGGTCCCGATGAGATATTTGCCAGAGTATTAAAGGAATGTAAGGAAGAGCTTAGTATGCCCTTAGCAAATTTGTTTAACATGTCCTTAAAAACAGGTGTAGTACCAGAATCCTGGAGGATAGCGAATGTAATACCGATTTTCAGGAAGGGAGATAGAAGACTATCCTCTAACTACCGTCCAATCAGCTTAACGCCAATTGTAGGCAAATTACTGGAAGCAATAATTTCAAACTCTATTCGAAATCGCCTGGAGAAGTATATGTTGATCAATGATTCCCAACCTGGCTTCACAAGCGGGCGTTCATGTCAAACTAATCTATTAGCATTCTTTTCAGCTGTTTTCGTATCAGTGGACGAGGGGGCACGACTATTATGTGGTATATCTTGACTTTAGTAAAGCCTTCGACAGAGTCCTACACGAAAGACTAAAAAGAAAAGTGGAGGCTCATGGCAGGAGGAGATATTCTAAAATGGATTAGTGCGTGATAACAGGACAGGAAACAACGAGTGAGCATTAACGGCACTAAATCCGATTGGTGTAACGTCACCAGTGGAGTACCCTAAGGCTCAGTACTTGGACCATTATTATTTATTATATACATAAACGACAGAGACATCGGCATAGACAGCAACATAAGTAAATTTGCTGATGACACTAAGATAGGGCGTGTAATTAAATCTGACGAGGACTCCGCAAAACTACAGGAAGATCTAAAAAAAAATGAATGGTCTGAAAAATGGCAGATGAAATTCAATGTGGACAAATGTAAAGTACTTTGTTGGGGAGATGTAAATAGAGAAACCAGATATCAGATGAACAACGATGTTATAGAGAAATCCGAATGTGAGAAAGATTTAGGAGTAATGATAAGTAGTAATCTTAAGTCAAGTAAACAATGTGTATTTGCTCGAAACAAAGCTTATAAAGTACTTGGGTTCATACAAAATTCCTACTACGATTTGGGAGATAAACTTTAAAAAACTTGACAACTGCAATCAAGCTGGGTGGAAAAGTTAAGGAAAACCAGAGAAAAAAAGGGACAAATACATATTCTATTTGGTTTGTGTTGTCAATAAAGAGAGATGCTGTATATCCATCCCATTCAGGTTGTTGCGAAAGAAACATATGCAGTACAGCCCCAAGCAATAATACATTAGCATCCCAACTTGAAAACCAATGTAATCTAAGCCTACAACCCAGAATACAGCCACTCCTCCACTCTAGGCTTTCTCCTCCTCCTCCTCCACTCTAGGCTGTCTCCTCCTCCTCCACTCTTGGCTGTCTCCTCCTCCCCCTCCACTCTAGGCTGTCTCCTCCTCCTCCACTCAAGGCTGTCCTCCTCCCCTCCACTCAAGGCTGTCCTCCTCCTCCTCCACTCAAGGCTGTCCTCCTCCCCTCCAGGGTATTGTTTCATCCTCCACTACAGATTATCTCCTCCTCCCTCAGCCTTGATGCCAGGTATGACTCCACCTCAGAGCCTCTCACCCCAATATTTCCTTCATTGGCTTTATGGCACCACCCCAGTTAGTAACCACATGATGGTCTCCAGGATCTCTGCCGCCTTTCCTTGTGACGAGCAAAAGAACCCGTATGTCCGCCTCGTCACACCCTCCTCACCTCACCCATGGAGTATAGGTACATGACACCTGGAGTTGACAGCACCATTTGGCCAGCAACCTCTTGGGGCGTTTTCCTTAAGGCAACCTGAACTAGTAATTAGGTGGAGGGATGGCACCAGGCACTCAATGATAGGCCGGTGCAAGCAGGTCTTCCTAATGTTTTGTTTAGTCTATAGTAATGTTCCGTGTTTTTGTCTGTAGTAATGTTTCGTGTTTTTGTCGAGTAATGTTTCGTGCTTTTGTCTGTAGTAATGTTTCGTGTTTTTGTCTGTAGTAATGTTTCGTGTTTTTGTCTGTAGTAATATTTCGTGTTTTTGTCTGTAGTAATGTTTCGTGTTTTGTCTGTGGTAATGTTTCATGTTTTTGTCGGTAGTAATGTTTCGTGTTTTTGTCTGTAGTAATGTTTTGTGTTTTTGTCTAGTAATGTTTCGTGTTTTCGTCTAGTAATGTTTCGTGTTTTTGTCTGTAGTAATGTTTCGTGTTTTTGTCTGTAGTAATGTTTCGTGTTTTTGTTTGTAGTAATGTTTCATGTTTTTGTCTGGTAATGTTTCGTGTTTTTGTCTGTAGTAATGTTTCGTGTTTTTGTTTGTAGTAATGTTTCATGTTTTTGTCTGGTAATGTTTCGTGCTTTTGTCTGTAGTAATGTTTCGTGTTTTTGTCTGTAGTAATGTTTCGTGTTTTTGTCTGTAGTAATGTTTCGTGTTTTTGTCTGTAGTAATGTTTCGTGTTTTTGTCTGTAGTAATAAACAAGATTCAGATACCTTTCCTTTTTTTTCAGTGCAATTATGTCATGTTCACTAGAGACACTTCAATATCCACAATAAATTTCCCCAACATCAATAGCACATAATTATTTACAATGACGACAGCGCCACGCCCCAAGACATTACCTCGGCCAATATTTCACCCTCACCAAATGATTATTCCCAAACTATGGCAGGGCCGGACCCACACCTCGAATTTGACCGACGCAATCTGTATTTTATTTTTTCAAAACGTCTATGGAATGTTTACACCTCATTCCACAAAGCCGAATTTTTAATCCTTTATCTTTATCCTCTTCGCCAATGATCGGCTCGTCATGCACTGTTGGCAGGTACTGGGCATGACTGGCTCCTGAATGTATCTGAACCTGCTCTAGTTTTGGTAAAGTCTAGTCTTGAAACAGCTCACACTCGGTGCCGTCACAACACTCGCTGGTAGGTTGTTCCAAGGGTTCACAACTCTCACTCCGAAAAAGTTAGCCCTCACAGTTTTCTGGACTTGTAGTTACTTCAATCTTGAACTGTGACCCCTTGTGGGGCGGGTGACACTCGACTGAGTAGTGTCCTCCGAGATGTTTGTAAACTTTAAATAAGTCACCCCTTGCCCGTCTATAGTACACGATAGGCAAAGAAAAACCCTGAGATTTGGTTGGTGGCAACAAATGCAATAACAACTTTTCTCGTACTGCAATTTTCTGACTTTCATCTCCCCAGTTCTCGGTTTTGGGTAAAATGCACCTGAAGTGTCACAGACGAAAACCGCTATTGGGGATGATATAATTAGGGCCTCTAGACAGTACTGTTTGCATTGTAGGAAACTTTAACTTATGACACACAGAGAAAACCTTATCAGCAACGTGGACACAGCGACCAAAAAGATATAATATTTGGAACATTAAGGTGAATCAGGTAGGGTGGAGATTCCATATTTTTACTTAAAAGACTGATGTGACCTCATCAGAAGTGACTGGAGACGCACAGGGTGACCTGATTTCAATAACGTGTTGCTAAAAGCCCCAGAACTAAAAATACCAAACTGAAAACTCAATAAATAATGATGACCCAAAAAGGATGAATAATTAAAAAAAATTACATACAGAATATTATTAGGCAGAAAACACAGACTATGAAGTTAAAGTAGCCAGGGAAGTGGAGGTAAAAAGAGAACATATAATTAAACCTGATGAACCGAAAAATAGGAAACGTAGAAAGAGAGTAAACAGATGGTGGTGGGGATGGTGGTGGTCACGTGTTGTGTTGTGTTCGACTTAACAGTAACTTGCAACCAAAAAATTCCATCTCTTAAGTAAACAGAAAGAAAATACTGTGATTCACCATTTCCGTAACAACCATCGACTTGAGTGACGTCACGTTACAGGTGAACAAAACCCGGGGATCAGGTGTGTGGGGCGTCACTCTTTCACTAACCACGGCGGTGCACATGTCTGCTGTCTAGTTCACGGCCTGTATGTGTGTCTGTACGTGTGTGTGTGTTCACGAGTTACCCCAAGTTCAACAAGGGATTTTATTATTTCACACCAACAAAAAAAAATGAAACTACTTATGTTCGAGGTAAGTTTTTTTTTCTTGTGACCAATGCTTCTGATAACAGTTAAGATTATATGCTAATTAAGACCGTGTGATTAAGTAAAAGTTTTTGGTGGGCTAACTTCGCTAAGTCACTCTTGTTTACGTCTAGAGTCACTTTCAGACCCGGGGAGCGTGGCGGTGCTCGGGAGAGTTCGTGGGGCTGCCATCACGTCCACTGCCGAAAGTGATCGTGTTAACTTCTGGAACAATTTAATGGATATCAGATGAATCACAGTGTTGAGGTGGTGGGGTTAGGTTAGGTGGTGAGGTTAGGTTATAGCGGGATGTCTCGTGAGTTTATACGTCAAATTACAGTACGTCTCCTTCCTGAGTCAACAATTACGATGCTGTGTGAGGGCTTGTTATATCAGGCTGTCATGTTTACTTTACTTTCACTATGGTTTGTATTGACTCACCCAAAGACATTTTATACATATATATAAAAGAGAGTTCACATGAAGATTAGGCAACCCAGATTACCTTGTATTTTACCTTAGGTTAAACCACCCTAAAGCTAAGCCTAACCAAACCTAACCTAATCTAACTTAACCTCAGCACCTAACCTAACCAAATGTAACCTTAACTAACCTAACCTAATCTAACTTAACCGGCCATCCATCAAGTAGCGAGTGTCTTTTTTTTATTATAAGCTGAAATAAGCTGGAGTGTCTAATCTTCACGTGCTCCTAAAAGGTGTTCAGTTACTGCCATTGCATCAACCACAGCTCATTTCACCTGAGTTTAACTACCCTGACGCTACCTGGGAGAGTTGGCTTAGGGTAGGGTAGTTTACGTTGAAGCTTGGCTGTGTTAAGTTGGAGACTGGCTGTGTTAGTTGAAGGCTGACTGTGTTACGTTGAAGGCTGGCTGTGTTAGTTGAAGGCTGGCTGTGTTAAGTTGGAGACTGGCTGTGTTAAGTTGGAGACTGGCTGTGTTAGTTGAAGGCTGGCTGTGTTACGTTGAAGCCTGGCTGTGTTAAGTTGGAGACTGGCTGTGTTAGTTGAAGGCTGGCTGTGTTACGTTGAAGCCTGGCTGTGTTAAGCTGGAGACTGGCTGTGTTAAGCTGGAGACTGGCTGTGTTAAGTTGAAGGCTGGCTGTGTTAAGTTGGAGGCTGACTGTGTTAAGTTGGAGACTGGCTGTGTTAAGTTGAAGCCTGGCTGTGTTAAGCTGGAGACTGGCTGTGTTAAGTTGAAGGCTGGCTATGTTAAGTTGACGCCAGAGTGTTAAGTTGAAACCAGCAATATTAATGGCTGTGTTTCTTCATGTTCACCATTTCCTTCCTTATACCAGACTCGTGAGCCAAAGTCCGATGTATTAAATAAACTTGCCTAGATATGTCAAGACTCGATTTGGTCCGGTTTACTTCTTCAAGGTTTCTCTGATGACCTCGGGAGACGACGGATAGTAAACTGAACATCACACCTGTACAAAACAAGATTACTGAAGATACGGTAATGGGGGTCAAAGTCATCGTGTACACAGAGAGACAACATCGTGTTCTGAAGTAGTTGCTGAAACATGGGATAATTTACTGTAGTCATGTATTTCATTATGATACACTGTGTTATAAGCGAATGTGTCTGTTTTGTCTTGCTAATCTACACCTGTAAGCACAATAACTCGTCGTAATATTAATCTACTTACTACAGTTGGGAGTAATTTTGTCCCATATTAACTCAGTTCAGGATAAGTTGCGTTAGTGGATGATCATGCATCATAACAAGGCCCAAGTGACTGTCATCTGGCCCCTAAGGCAAGTTTACCTTCCTTACAGCCAGATAAATAGTAATAAAACATCTAACATAATGTTCTGCACAATATAATTATAGTCTGGGCTGGACATCTAGTGAAGGTTTCTTTCTGTCGATTTACTTTCTGTGACATGATTAGCTAAACCGAATGAAAATTTTTAAGTGGATGATTCGGTACATAATACAGATGAGCATGACCAGGAACGTCCGTGTGTGTATGTGCCCCGTGCTAGGAGGTGAACTGTATAACTTGGAGCCCCGAGTACAGAGCCCGGAAACGTGAGTCATTTATTGATCAGGACCACAGGGCTCGTGAGACAACTTCACAATTATCTAGTTCACCAGGGAACAGGTTGTTACACGGTGACGATTGCCCCGGTGAGCAGCCAAGTGAATCAGTATCTGGAGGTGTGTGTTGCACCTAAAGTAGAATTAGCGGTTTGTTCTCATTGATTGAGTTTAATACTTTAGATAATTTTAGTCTTTTCCGCTCAGAGTTCTTTGCGGAAGTTACACGCGCGGAACACTGGTGAAGACGCCATCATTATATTGTAATTTTCCACCTTAGCCGCTGTTATTTTCCTCGATGCATTTTATCCAGTAGTTTTATAGCAACAAAGATATATTAATAATGAAACTGTCGTCGAGCTTACAAAACCAATCACCGATTTATCTGAGATTACGACACACGGAGCTATACTTTCTAGTGAAGATTAATGAAACTCGGTACAAGTAATAGTTGGTCTACACTCACGCTCCCTCAACACAACCAAACCAAGAGCAGCAGTTATACCAGCACGCCCGCTCTGTCTACCCAAGCACCCCATAACCCGACCTATTTAACTAACAAAACAACCCTTCCTCACTAATGATCCACCACTATTAATAATTATAACGTAACACTTGCATCACCAATACTACCAGTTACCACAAGTATAGTTACATTTCAGTACTATGACTGTCACTGCTCGTACGACGTTTGTAGCTGTTACTACCAATACTGTCACTGCTTCATATCCTACCAGTCATCACACAAGTCACCAGTCTTGCTAATATTACTACCAAACCGTGACTACCATTGCTGCCGACGACTTCTGTTAATAACACCACAACTACTACTACCACCACTATACTACTGATATTAACACCACCATAATCAACATCTTTACTACTACCGCTACTACTACTACAACAACAATTACTACTACCACTGCTGCTACTAACATCGCTACTATACTACTACTACTACTATCACCAGTTCACCTCCCGTGTTTGTGTGATTCACCAAGTATATTGTAACAGGTAACACTGTGCAGAACGGAAAATGACACACACACACATCATGAGTTAGGTAGAAGCTCAAATGACACCAGATTTTGTAGAATTTTAAAAATAAATTCACCTACGCAATGACGTATGACACATGACACCGATATCTCTCTTTTCCCCCATGACAAAAATCAGGTTCAGGAAATGACTCGCATTACGTAAATTTTATGCATTACAAGAGACTGGCTATACGATACAATAAACGCCATCAGATTTACCTGTGTCGAAGGTATAGGAAATCTTCAAGAAAATGTAGCGTAAAATTACCAAAGTAGCACAGAGCTGTTACACCGTTCATTAGGGAGAGAGACATGATAATGGTTGTCCTTCGTGTAACGAGGATGGCCGACCCTAGAGCCACCTAGGCGTGAATTTGCTTAAGGTGTAGAAGCTGTCGCTAACACAACAACCACACCCTGAGTTAACGAGCTGCATGACCCAGTTTCAAGGAATAGTCAGAGAAGACGACCGGACAACTCGCCAACTGCACTGGCTAACCATTACCCCGGAACACGATCCGCAAATCGATTACCATCCAAGTCCCCAATTACTGCTTGGTAGACAGAGGCAAATGGCGTAAAGAAACTTATCCATAGTTTCACCCTGCCCGGGATCGAACCCGGGTCCGCTCGCTTGCAAGACGAGCATGCTGACCAGATCGCCTATGGAGCGATATAACAACTAAGAAACAGAAACAATCAATATATTAAATCGTCTCATGTATTTCACCCAAAAGTCAATTAGTTACAGTCTTGAAGACGGGGTGTGTGTGTGTTACTGAATCTCTGAGGAAACTATGGAGAGTGTGACAGTTAACGATGCGTCACAAGTTTTCACTGATACTAAGAGGGAAAAGCATTGTAATATCAGTGTGTAACCTGTGTGAGGTTTCATACAGTATGTTACATATGACACTATACGTAGATATATGAAAGGTTGAGCAATACAGCGACTTCAGGTGAATTACGCACCAAACTTAAGAGAAAAAAAGAATGTGAATTATTAACTTCAAAATACCGTAATAACAAAATATGGACAAAATTATGTGTACACGTCGCCACCATCAATAGCTTATGTATGTAAATTAATAGTGTAATAAAACATTTAAAATAGCTAAGTGTTAATCCTAAAGGTACTGTTTGTAAACGTTAAAAGCTGTATAGGTGGCACTTGTTGAAAATGTTCTGGGCATGTGCAGATCAATAAAAAAAAAACCAAACCAATCAAATTTAACCCAACCTAACCTAATCTCACCTAACCTAATCTAACCTATTCTAATTTGTTTTCCAAAGGGTGATATCAGCATCCCTCTCAAGCTTTCGACGGTGTTTTGATTGAACTGTCCATTTCCAAACAGTTTCAGCACCGCAGTCGCTTACAATCTCAGCACGTCGTAACACCGGCCGCTCAACATACCGCTGCTGTCATTAGGAGGTGTGATATGAACGCACTATACAATGGATGAATATTCCCTTACCGTGTATTTTGTGTTATAGTTTCTGAGTTTCTGCCCGACATTTGGATGGGATCACTTAAAGATTCCATCACCACGAAAAATCTGCAAGTCAATGTGTGTGTATAAAAGAATATCAAGTTACACTGAATATTATTTACTGTGGATGATACTATAGGCTGTTGGTGAAGGATGACGATAGATGGAGAGATTGGTCGTATACTTTAATGAGATATGTAAGAGAGGAATGGCAGCTCGTGGCATTTCAGTTCTGGTAACAGTGTACTTCTGACGTACAGGGGTGGGGATGGATGACTTGTGGTGTGAGGGAGGAGGTGTTACATCACTACCATCTGCACGAACCACACTGCCTCGGTTCATGTTTCGCTTCATGCACTACTAATACGAGGTGAATATAACAGCATATGTTATCTTTACTCATAGTATA